CCTTGTCCTCCTGCTAACACAAGGCAAGCATTACATTTTTACTTCATTATTCAAATGGGGGCATCCGCAGCTCAGAGAAGTCCCTAGCCTACAATTGATAAAGCTGGGATTCGAACATGGTCAAGTTATTGAGAACTATGCTTTTGGCTGGTGTGGGGGATCTACGGGGGTGTCTGGGAGCTTCTCACACAGGTCTCTGTCCTGGAGAAAGGCTTTACCCCACTCCTCGGGGGAAGGGAATACTGGATCTCAATACGCAGCTCATGACTGGCAGCCACCTTGCCTCAGTCTTCAGAGTTCTAGGATTGCAGGGATGGACCACCATACTGGAAGTCTCACTTTTGATATTTTGGGACTGAGCCCAGGCAGGCCCTACATGCGTGGACTCTCCTGGCGCTAGACTCCCTAGTTGCCTCTGCTCCCTGCAGAGCTGGGGCCCCAACGTCACGCCGAGGGGCCAATCACCTGGATCCAGAAACTGCTCCGCTTTCCCCTCAGCCCCTCTCCCAGGCCCGCCCGCGGCTCCCTGGGGCGGCCAGCAGTCAGGGGTCCCGGGCGTGCAGGACGCGCACCTTCCAGGCGCATGCCCACCGTCAGGCACTTCTGGAAGCGGCAGAAGGGACAGCGCTTACGCTGCGTCTTGTCGATTTTGCAGCTCTGACTCTCGGTGCACGTGTAATGCTTGTTGTTCTGGACTGTGCGCTTGAAGAAGCCCTGCTCCAGAGGAAGGGAATGAGCGCCAGGTTCCGACCTTCGTTCGCCGCCCGCACCCTTGTCTCCCGCAGCCTACACCCTCCCTGCTCCCGCTTCGCGCTCACCTTGCAGCTCTCGCACGTGAGCAGCCCGTAGTGGTAGCCTGACACCTTGTCACCACACACCGGACACAGCTCGTCCAGGTCCTCGTCGTACGAATAGTCCATGCCCGCGGCGTCCGCCTGTGGAAGGAGGATCGGGTCAGCGCGGGCCGACGGCGACTGGCTTGGGGTTGCCCTGGTCTGTGCACACGGGGCGGTCCCCAGCACCGGCCGGCTGCGGGGGTTTGCGGGCCATGTCCCTGCGCTGCAGCTCAGCCACCCGCCGCGCTCCAGGGCTGCATCCTCGCCGCCTCTGCCGCGCCCGATCCGGGACCCTCGGATTCGATGCGTTTCCATCCTGATTCGTTTGTCTGAGAACAAAACCCCGATTCTGAGAAAATCAGATAGGCTCGGGAGCGGGGAAGACAGACGCCAGGGAACCAGGGCGAAGTAGGGCACACAGTTGCAGTGGTCTGGAGGTCCCCCGACAGAGACCTGAGGCAGAGACGAGTCTAGAAGAGACAGAGAGACCCCAGCCAGTATTGCTTCACAGAGAGGGGATCCTGGGTGACGGGGACAGGAATGCGGTGCCAAAGACATTGGGAGAGATTCATAGATGGTTGATTGTTAGGTAGGTAGGTAGACACTGATAGATTCTGTAGATAGATGATGAACAGATGATGATCGGTCACTGATAGATGATCTAAAGATCCGTACCCAGTACATAGTAAAAAGATGAAAGACCAACGATGGATAACGAAAAAGACCGGATCAGAGGCTAGGAGTGACAGGCCTAACGAGAAAACCACGGAGACACAGAATCAGAGACACAGTGAGAGACACCGAGCAAGGAGAGACACCCTGGGAAGACCGAGGCAGCGAGAGTGACAGAAACACGAACGGAAAACCTGGAGAGACGGAGGTGCCCAGCGAGAGGGTCGGGGATGGGGAGACAGACTCTCGGCGGGCTGCGGCGCGGGCAGAGAGCTCCAAGGCGTGGCCCCGTGGAGGGACAGGGGCTGACCCTGAGAAGCAGAGAACCCTGGCGCCGGGCCGCTGGGTCCGCAGACAAAGCCACGCTGCGACGGCACCCACCGGCGAGCCGAGACGTCGGGCCGGGAGCGGGCGTGGAGGGTGCAGCGGGGTGGCGGGCGCGGGCCGGAGACCTCCGGTGGAGACGGGGTAGAGAATCTGGGATACAGGCTGCGGTAGACCTCAGACGGAGAGTCCAGGTCCCGAGAGCCGTGGCCGGGGACGTGAGAGCCGGTACGACGGCGGCTTCCACCCAGGCCGCTCCCGCGAGCAGCGCCCCGCGTTCGGCCCGCACCGAGCCCCGCACCTTTGGGCCGTGCCGCCGCCCGCGATGAAGCCGCACCCGGGCTCAGCGCCGCCCGCCCGCAATGACGGCCACTCGGGCCGGGGGCGGGGAGACCGTCCCTCTCTGCCCCCGCCTCCCCGCGCCCGCCGCCCGCGGGGCTGCTCGAGGCGCACCTGGGACCCGGGCCCCTCCGCCGCACTGCGCGCTTCGCGAACCCGCCGCGCGGGGCCGGGGTGGCCGCTCTATATGCGCGCGTGCGGTATCCGGGGGCGGAGGCGCGGTCCCTGTCCTCCCCACAACCCGGCCTGTGCCCTGCCCTCCCTACAGCCCCGCTCGGCCTTCACCCTCACCTCCTGGCCCTCCAGTCCCCAGCTCGATCCGATCCTCCGAAGCCCGCGAGTTCTAAGAGAATTGGGGACCCTGAGCACCCCGGAATCAGGTCAGGTGCCGTGCGCGGGGAAGCTTCGGGCCTCCGCCTGCGCAGGGAGGAGGCGAGCTCCCGTTTGCTAATCCAGTTTAGGGGTGCCAAGGCCTGAACGCTGGTCGTTTTGCCGTGTGACAGTGGTTAAGGGCGTGAGTGGGGCGGTGGGCAAGGCGCTAGTGCAAGGAGGAAACTGGACTTGTGAGTTAGCACTGCCACATTTGCCTACTCAGGCTGCATGCACCCACTCAGCCCTGTTTCTTAATTCGAAGCCAGCTCTCCCAGAGGGTGGCTGAAAATGGATGCGGTGCAGTGGACAGCAAGAGTTCGGGGACGAACCCCATTTCCAGGAGTCTCTCTCAGGGTGCTCCTCTGGAAATGGGAAGCATGGTCATCACACTCGGCGACATCCCAAGGTCTGGTAAGCAGCCGGAGCTCCACGGGCGCAGAGCCCGAAAAGCGAAGTCATGGAGCTGTACCCATGCGCCCCTGAGAGCTCTCCTTTAGCTAGGGCGTAGGGGGAGGGGGAGAACACGGGAGCCCCGGGACTACTGGTCCTGCGGGTGAGGTGGCAAAGTAGTTGCTCTGGGCTGGAAACATCCACCAGACCACACAGCTTTTCAAGTTAAGTAACTGAGGTTGAGAGATCTTTGAAGAGGCCTACTCAATCCAGCCCAGTCCTCTTAGCCACCAGGGGTGGAAGGCAGTGCTGGAGGCTGGAAACGGACGCCAGAAAGCCTCAGTGGAGAAGCACAGCAGTTCTGCCATGGCAGAGACCCAGCCATCCAAAGCTCTGTGGCTCGAGTTTCTGTGGGTGCTGGACTAGGGTGCTTGGACAAAGCTGAAGACCTAGCCCAGCGAACCTCTCAAGTCATTCGCCCGATGGAGGGAAGCACCACCATTTCTGACCGGCTTGGCTATCCTGTCCTAGCTCAGGCAAGTCACTTCCTACAGAGCTGAGTTGAGTGAATTTGTGTGGATGAATTGTAGAAGGAAGGAGAGAGAGAGCGCGCCAGAGATGTGTCAGGCCCTCTCCCCACACGGAGCAGCTACACCTCAGGGACAGGGTCTATATGGGCTTCTGAACGAATCCCCTTCAGATAGTAACCCTCAGAAAGTGAAACTGGGGAGGGAATGGGGTTCAGTGGCAGACCACGCCCAACGTGAGGCTCTGCTGTTCATTTCTAGCATTGCAAAAATACAAACAAAACCAAAACAAAAGCCCCCAGATGAACAGAGGCCAGTAGACAGTGGGGATGAAGGCACTGGGGCTGGGCGTCTGACTGGGCATCTCTAGAGTAGCCCACCAGGGGCATCTTGGATAATGTGGGCACTCGGCTGGGCTAAATCCCTGGTGGGATGGGGGATGGGCACCAAGCTGCTCTCCACCTTTCTGCCTCTAAGTCAGTGATTTCCTCCAGGGTTCCACTGAACGCCCCCTGCCCTGCGTACCCTCACAGTGACTCAGCCCTTCATCCACTTACCCAGGGAAGCAAAGTGGACACTGGCCCTGAGTGACAGTAGAAACACAGACTTACACATATGGAGGCAACCCAGACACTCAGGCAGCAAGACTCCAAGACCAGAAGACAAGTCTAAGAGACCCTCGGGACAGATACAGAACATCACACCCTCAGGAAGCCCCGGCTACTTCTAAGACACCACCAACCACCCTCAGATCCTACTGGGTCTGTCGCCATAGGCCTAGCTCCTCTGTAACACACCATAGGAAGAGATGAGGAATACTGTAATGGGGAAATGGATCTGGGGAGACCCTTGGCCTTTTCCCTGCCCAGAGTGGTGGGTACTGGTCATTCTGTAGAGCAGGCGGTGGCCAGTCTAGGCCCGAGCAAGGCACTGAGGAGAGAGGCTGGCCATTAGAGGCCTGGGCCCCGGCCTTCACTTACTGAACAGAAGGAGACTTCTCAGCCGGATAAGGGTGGACACTGGGCACCAGGGTCCTGGTGGGGAGGCTCCCAGGCCCCAGGTAGGGCAGTGGCTAGCGGACTCTCAGGAACTTCTTCACCCAGCAGCGGCCGGGCAGCGGCAGACTGCAAACTGGCCCTGTCCGATCGTCCTTTCCTCCTCCCCTCGTGGGTGGGGGGGCCACCAGAGGCCCAATTGGTCTCTGCCCCCACGTGACTCTGCAGGCCTTTCTCCTCCTTTGTTGGTGTTTCTCTTCATTTGGGTCTATATCTTTTTTCACTCTTCTAAAAGAAAAAAAATATCCCTATCTTTATGGGGGCCCTGGGTGGGGGCAGAGGCCAAGGCACTGGGGAGGCCTCGGCCAGCTGGCTGTCCAGGCTGCTATGGAAGCCTGAGGCAGGGACCCCATGTAGGCGGATAGGCAGCGGCTTGTTAGCGACTGGGTGGGAGTGGGACCTGATTTATGGCCTGCTCCTTCACCAGGCTGGGAGTTTCTCCCCTTGAATGGCTTCCTCCCTGGGTCCTGGCCTAGGCTGCGTGGTCCAGCTTGTCCCAAATCTGAGTGAGGAGTCAGAATGGCTGGTGTGGAGAAATGGCATGGTGGAACCCATCAGGTGGGGCTCCTGTGGCCTTTTTGGTGGCTTCTCTGAATATCACTATGCATTGGGAGCTGCAGATAGGGTCCATTGATAGCTGGGGAAACTGAGACTGTGCCAAGACTGCTGGGCTAAGGGTGTGGCTACAGGGACTTCAGATAGCGCGATGTGGGTACTAGGCCCAGATAGGGAAGTAGGTTTTTCTTATTTAGAAGGTCAGGCATCTCTGCTTAGCCAGCTTCTGCACTGGCCTAGGCCTATTGGATTCTGATGGTCCTCCATCCCACACCTCTCAAGTAACCCGTCTGTGTATTCCTTCTTCATCTACTATAGACTGTGAGCTTTGTGAGCCAAGCACTGTTCTAGGCACTAGGGGACACCATGAAAAGGATGAGGGAGCCTCTGTTACAAGAGAATTTGCAACCATTTGTTCTGAGGAGTGGTTCAGGGGCATGAGTCCACAGAGTAGGGACCCCTGTTGAGAACTCCTTCTTCACATGAAGAGACAGGCAAGTCAGGCAAAGCTTCTCTTTTATGTAGCTCTAGATGATAGGGCCCTTTCTGGATAACTGAGCGAATTAGATTTGAGTTCAGAATGTCTTCTCCTCATGTTACTACTTAGGTTTTTTGTTGTTTAGCTTTGAGACACTGTCTCATTATGTAGCTTAGACTGGTCTCTAACTTTCCAGCTACTCCCTTGTGAGGGCTGGGATTATAAACATGCGCCACTGCAGCCTGTTTCAAGTTAAAAAAAAAATACTGAGTTCCTATTAAAGATACTCTGTTATGCTTGCAGACAGAAGCCTAGCATAACTGGCCCCTAAGAGGCTCCACCCAGCATCTAGCTGAAATAGATGCAGAGACCTACAGCCAAACATTGGAAGGAGCCCAGAGAGTCTTGTTGGGGAAAAGATTGAGGGCCCTGAAGGGGATAGGAACTCCATAGGAAGACTTAACAGAGTCAAGTAACTGAAGAGCAAGCATTGGCCAGACCTAGGCCTCCCCCACATATGTAGCAGATGTGCAGCTTGGTCTTTATGGGGTCCCCCCAACAACTGGAGTTGGGGCTGTCCCTGACGCTGTTGCCAGCTGGTGGTTACTGTTCCCCTAACTGGATTGCTTTGTCTGGCCTCAGTGGGAGAGGATGTACTCAGTCTTGCAGTAACTAGATGTGCCAGCTGGGTTGGTACAGGGGAGGGAGGTCCCCCTTCTTGGAGAAGGGGAGGGGAAGGGAAGGAGGGGTTTTGCAAGAGACAGGGCTGGTGGGGGGCTTTGATAAAAAGAGAAAAAAATAGTGAGTTCAGCAGTGATTTCACTGACATACCATCTGAGTAAGTTCGTCGTCCTCATTTGAATTATATCTATACCATTACAGACAACTTCCCTCAACACTCTGGCTTCAGTCATGCCTCTTTAACCTAGATAGTCATATTTTTCTTGTACAGAGACAGGACTTAACCAGATCCCGATTCTGTTTAGTTTTTATTATTTCTCAGTTCCTCATTTCATTATTTTTGTTTCACTTAAACATTTTCTTTTTCTGATTTATTTATTTACTTATTTACTTATTTTTTTCGTTTGACATAATCTACCACTCTGTAGTCCAGGTTAGCCTCCGATTGGCAACAATTTTCTTGCATCAGCCTGGAGTGCTGGAATTGCAGGTGTAAGCTGCCATGCCTGACTCTACTCTCTGACTGCCATGTACACGTTCTCACTTTAGAATCCATGCTGTTCATCCTCTGAGTCTAGTAAAGAAATAAATGCCATTTTACCCTGTGGCATACACAGTACCACAAACTTCTGACTCTTTGCACACCCCTTTTGATTGGAGACTTCATGAAGTAGGTTCTATATCCCCTGGTGTGTGTGTGTGGTGTGGTGTTACTGGGGTTCAAACCCAGAGCTTCAGAAATGCCAAGCCTGCTTTCTTTTTTTAAAAAAAACTTTTATTTTTATATATTTATTATTTTTAAGATCAGGTCTTACTGTGTAGACCAGACTTTCCTGGAACACACAAAGCTCTCCCTGCCTCTGCCTTCTTAGCACTAGGATTGCAATTGTGTGTACCACTGCTGCCCTGCAGAACCTGACTTTTTAAACAGGGTAAATGGGATCTTTCAGCACCGTGTGCTTTGGAAATAGCCAGCTAGCTTAGCCGTGATGTCCTGACAAGTCCTTGAGATTTGAGAGTTGCTGGCAGAGACTGGGTTCCATTCCAACTTGGCTTGTTTACGTTTCATGCTCTCCCTGTATAAAAGGGGTATGAAAGGTGATGGTACATGTAACCTACCTAGTGCCCTCTTAGTATGCCATGTATGCTCAGTAAGTGTCAGCTACACACACACACACACCACACACACACACACACACACACACACACACACACACACGACCTGCTGAAAGCTTGCCTGCTTTGTCCTTAGAGGCCCTTTACTTGTTGAGTCTGACATTGCAACATCACTGTCAACATTGCTTGCCCTTCTGTGATAGTGTGACTCACCTCAGCTAGAGGGAACCCTCTTGGGAAGACTTGATTTATCTCAGGGTCCTCAGCACTGCTGAATGTATATCTGAAGGGCTAAGGCTCTGCTGCTTCTTGTGACGTCTCCTCTAGGTGTTAGCTGTCAGTAACACTTAGGCAGGGTGCTCCTCATTCCTAGCCAGCCTTGGATATGAGATACCCACTTCTTCAGGGCTGCCCCTTATTCTGGCCCACTGGCCTCAACTCACAGGGGTGCTCCACCACTGGACCAGAGAGAGCAGGAAGGAGCTGGGGTTGTGAGGATGGGAACAGCATTATGTCCCTGGGAATCATGACATACCTAGGTTTAGTCTCAAACCCTTGCTACCATTTTAGGAATGGGGTAGAGTGTCTTTATCTCACTGGCTGTGAGCAATGTTCAGGACCCGGCTGAGTCAGGAGGTTACCCAAGCACAGACAGCTTAGCAGTGGGAAAGCAGAGAGCCGAGGTGTAGCCCACACTCTGTCCACTGTGATCTGGGCTGTCTGCGTTCCTGTAAGCTCAGCTCCAATGCTGGGGGTCCAGGCTAGGAGACCCGTGGCAAGGAAGCAGAGTTACAGCGGATTCAGCATGGTCTCCCTAAGGCAAACAAAGCGTAGAGGCTCACTCCTGAGGAGGGACTTTCCCAAAGTGCCAGGCTTGTTTCCTGGAGGTAGAAAAAAGGACAAAAGAAGCAGAGACCCAGACACTGAGAGGAAGGGAAGGGGGGACAGTTGTGACTGGGGGACAGTAGGGAGGAATAGCTAGAAAAAGAAGCTAGGGAGAGAGGGGGAGAGAGACAGAGACCTGCTAATGGGAAGGAAGACCCATAGGTGGTAGAGGGGGAAGAATGAGAGAACTTCAAGAGGAATAGAGAAAGAATTGTGCAGGAAGGGAGAGAGAGGAAGGGAGGGGAGAGAGAGAGAGATAGAAAGATGGAAGCAGAAAATGAACTAAAGGCCAAGGAGCCCAGGGAGCTGGACGCAGAAGGAACTAGCTGTGGAGACCCCATTCGGGGCAGTGTAGGGGGCGGGCTTGCTGGCAGCAGCAGAGGCTGTTTCCGCTGCACCCCTTATCAGCCTGCTGCCAGATGTTCAGATCCGATGCCAATGTCAGAGAAGTCCATAGTGCTGGGTCAAGGCCGTGGCCAGCGGGAGCCTCAGCTGCATCATGAGGAGGGTGGTGGGGAGGGGGGGAGGCTTCATTAGACCTGCTGGCTTTTTCCTCCTCCAGTGGCTCACCAGGCTGGACCACCTGGTGAGGGGTGGGGGGAGACTAAGCACTTCTTAAGACTGAGAGCCAGGGACCTGTGGAGGCAGTATGTGGAGACTGGCAACATGTAGAAGTGTACACCGCTGCACCCCTACCCCAACACTGTAGCTAGTATGTGGACACACACACACACACCACAGGTACAGAGTCGCATGGGGACAACTTGGGGTTCATTCAGAACTGACTGCTTCAATATCTTTCTGCATCCCAACCAGTCAGCCTTCCTGCTCTGCGAGAACCCTTAGTGTTTACCCCTTCCCATCCTCCAAACCTGAGCCAAGACCGCAGCCAGACCTGGAGTTGCCAGGTAAGTGCCTCTTGGTGGCTGGAGCTGTTCCAACAGATATACTTAGAAGCTGCATGATTTTCAAGGAAGGCAGGGCCAAAGGGATTCGAGACCTTCTAGAATGAAGCCCGGTAGAGCCCCTCCAGGAAGAGGCAGGTGCTGGGTGTCTGGCAGGACTGAACCTCCAGCCTTGGGCCTGGGCCTCTCTGCCATGCTCCTGGAGCGTGCAACGCAGCTGTGGCCCCTTCCTGGGGCAGCTTATCTCAAAGCGCACACGCTTGGCCCTCAAGAGGTGACCCAGCCTTGCTCCCCACATTCCTCTCCAGTTCTGCAGCCGGTGGGCCCCCCACAGCTCTGAGACTGGGCCTGAGCTTGGGAGGTAGTCAGAGCCACCACTGGGCCCAAGCCCACTGCAGACTGTCTTTTGGCTTTTTCTGCTTCTCTGTCTTGATGAATTTGTTTATTCCCATATCTTTCTCTTGGATTGCCCCAATTTGTTTCTCTTTGCTACTTTCAATGTTCTAATATATTTTTTCTTTGCTTTTTCTTCAGGGTCCCTGAATTAGACCAAATTCCAGGGACATCTCTGCTCTTCTGACTCAATGACCAACCTCAATGGGAAAGTACATGAAACGTCAGACTGTGGTGAGAGGACCAAAGGGCCTGGGAAAACAAAAGCCTGTCCTGGGAACAGGGGGTGACTGGAACATTTAGGGCTCCTTTCTCCCACCTAGGAAGCCATCCCCAGTAGATATATGAAACAAGATCTGGTGGGCTCCTCCATGTAGTGGAGGAGGCTTGCGGGGGTGGGGTGGGGTGGGGGGGTGGGGGGGTGGTTGGGTGGAGGGGGTGGTTGGGTGGAGGGGGTGGTTGGGGAAGGGGAGGAAACTGGGACTAGAGGTCTTAGCCTAAGGACCTCCTTCCTGTTTGTAGGGAAGTGAATGCCTCAGAAAGCTGCTGGGGGAGAGGAGGGAGGCCATGGTGACTTCCGGGAAGAAGGTCCACCCTCCTTGTGCCCACATGGGGCTCTCTAGTCATGGCTTAAAATGGTGCAACTCTGCAATTGATGCTGGACCCAGTCTGGACCTCAAAGGGTTACAACCATGGTTTGTGCTGCCAGTAGGAGGTATGGGTATGTGTGAGGGTCTACTCAGCTATCTAGTTCACACCAGACTGCGGCCTGTGTCCACAGGGACTAAAAAAACCCAAGAGCCCAAACCTGAAGCTTTGAATGTAAGTTTCAGCTCTTGCACTGATCAGCTTTGAAACGTTGGTCTGGTGCCTGCATGGCTTTCAACCGAAATGAGACAGTGGCATGGCACAGAGCCTTGCCAGACATAAAGTGGGTGCACAGAACTGGACTCCTGTTGTTTCCATACTGCGCTCTGCTATACCTGCTCTAAGGACTGGGTGTAGAACAGGGAAGGCTTGTGGAGAGGGAGCTTGCAAGGAGGGCAAGGATGGGGCTGTGGTCTCCATGGTGAGACTTGTTGCCAAGGGAACAAAGTCTCCAGGAGCCCTGGGTCTGGCAGTTGGGCACTTTTGCCACAGGAGCTGGCAGGCTAATTGTCATTGCACCCAAACTCCTGATGGGCCATCAGGCCAAGGCCAGGCTGAGCAGAGAGGAGGCTCCTGGCTTTGTTTGGCCTCTGCTGCTGGAGTGGAGGGGCTGCAGTGTCGGCCAGTCTCCATGTGTCTGGACTTCAGTGAGGCCTGTTAGAGCCAGCCACTGTCATTCCTGAACTCAGCTACAGGTACCATCCTCTACTGATACCAGTGGGCCAGTGGGGACCAGGGAGGCATCTATCTGGGAAAATGTCAAACTCCACTGTGGAGGAGGTGAACGGACACCCCATTTGATTATTTCTGCTGGCTCACAGGTTGCCTGAGGGAAGTGAACCCTGGAAAGGACTTCCTGCAGCCAGATAATCCAATCCCAGCAGCCTCCCCTGTTATCTCTTCTGGATGTTTCTGGCTTCACTGTTGGAACCTGGAGCACTAGATTTCACTGCTGGTTCCACAGAGATATCCTTGCTCACGTCCAGCTGATGAGGAGCTCAGAGAACATAGATACTTCCAATAGTCACCCAACATTTATTCCTGTGCATTCCTGAGTACTCCCTAGCTAGGTCTCCTTATGCAAATTATTTATCATCTGGGGCTTCAGTTTTCTTTTCTGTAAAATGGGATCATTACAGCACACCCTTCACTGGGTTGCTCTGGGAAGTGACCTCATGTATATCCGTGCTGTCACCCATTCTGTCTACATCACTTAGTACTTTAGTGGTGAAACAGAACCTAGGGTTTCACACTGAGGTACAATCCTCCATTCTTCTAGACTGCCACGACCACCCCAGGAAGCTCAAAGCTCACGAGTACTTAAGCAACTTTGATATTTGGGAGAGCACTACCCCAAATTTTACCCCATGGAATGCTGATTCAACAGAACTTTTACAGAAGACAAAAGTCAACCCGACAAACAGGTAGTTTTGGTGCATCCTGGTTGGGCTAAGTGGGATATTTCTTCAGGTAGGACTTCCCAGAGCCTTGGCTATATACAAAGGAGGTTTGGGAGTCTGGGGATAAATAGAGTGTGGTATTTCCTCAGTTTCTGGCATATACTTCACAGAACTGTTTCTTTTTTGACAAAGCCTTCATGAGTGACCATGTTCAGAGAAATCATGTAGGCTGAGGTCTTGGGACGTCATTGCTTTTCAGCCTGACTAGGTTGAGCCTGTTGTACAGCTGGCTTGTTTTTGAACAGCGAGAGGTTCAACCAGAGGCTGCTTGTTTCTAAGCCTTGTTACAAACGCCATTTGTGCTCAAAACTGCTGAAAGAACAGGGAGGAAGCTGCTGTAACGCTGGAATCAGATAGAGTCGAACTCAAAAGTTAATTCTCCAGCTTGCTCATGTGTCATCTTAGGCAAGTGGTTAAACTTCCCTGGGCCTGTCTGCTTCTGAGCAAAAGGGATGACAGGGCATGGGTGCAGGTGGCTAGAAGGTGTGACTGTCGCTAGGCAGCGGGTATACTCCCTTCTCCTTGTGCTTGTTTCTATCTGCTCCCTCTTGTGAGGCTGTGAAGACAGCCTATTACCTCCTGCTGCTGAGGGCCCTTTGTTTCAAATCACCTCTTTCAAGCCTCAAGAGCTCTTTGGTACCTTGTGCCCGGGCGGGCGCAGAAGGCAGCTGGGTGTTCCTGTTTCATGCAGGACAATCTAATAGGCTGATGAGACTCTTCGGGCCTTTATCTTGCAATTGAGGACTCTCCCTCTGTCTTCACAGCCCTCATCCTGCCTGAGTGTGTGAGCAGGACAAGATGGCTAGGTTTCGTAGCTGGGTGGATCTGGGTTCAAGACACTTCCTGTGTTGCCTCTGCCATGTCCCTTGACTTTTCAGTCACTATTTGCTCATATCCTACAGAAGTTATAAAGAACCTTCATAGTTTTCTGGAGAGTCAGGTATTAACTTGATAGACAACTCACTGAGCAGATAAGGCAAGCTACCACTGCCCAGCACACTGCTGTCACCGACACAGCTGAGACTCAGCAAACGGCCTCCCAAACTTCAAACTCCTTCCAGCAGTGCTCCAGGCCCTCATAGTGTTCCCAAATTCAGTTCCTTCCTCATGTTCTTTTGTTTTATAGGATCTTAGAAAGTGCTGTGGTGACTCTACCCTTGTGAATAGTTCTCAGCTTGGAGACTTTCTCATCTGGGAAGCCCCTCCTCACTACCTGTACCCATCCCAAGTCCTCTCAGCACTTCTAAGGTTGGTGTGTCTCCTACCAGGGTATCCCCTAGTTGTACTTTTTTCTGGCTGGAAACCTTGTGCAAGCCTTTTCATCATTCTCAACCTTAGTTTCTTCAAACTCATGGTGGTCTGGGTTTATGAAAAATCAACACAGTGCCTGGCAGGCAGCAGGCACTCACTGGTTCCTGAGGTTCAGGAGCAGACTATTTTCTGCCAAGCCCTCAGCAACAGAGATGGGAGTAGTGTTGGCTATGAGCAGGAGTCCATGCCTCAGGACACCAGGCCATCCCTCCCCCGAACCCCAGATAAGCTTCACAGGCAGATGGCATGTGCAGAGGATTCACATTTATTGGTTCAAATACAGTACCTAATACTTGCTAAACATGCATTTCATACTAATTGGTCACATTTCCACAGGTAGTCAATTCACAGAACAGGGCCCACCCCTCGCCAGCAGGCAAGTGTGGGAGGTAGCAGAGGGCCTGAGCAGCCTGCAGAGCCCGCCAACTATCATTTGGTCATGCAGGGTTGATGGAGCCAGGCTGGCAGGCAGCCCTTGGCCGGCCCTTTGGGAACAAGGGCTCAGAGACATCCATTCATTCGATTCCTACACAGGACTGTGGGAGGACTGGGAGGTAGCCTGAGGTAGGTTCATGATGCACTTGCCACCAGAATCCCTGAAATCCAAGCTATGGAGCATAAGAAGGGGGTGGAGTCCTCTTCTAGTGATGGCTTGTCCCTAGCTGGGCAGGTGGAAAGGATTCCCCAGACACTGCCCAGACATTACAATGCAGCCACAAGCCCCTATCACAGGCCTGGGATGGCAACACAGACAAAAACACAACAGTCCAGGGTTTCGTTCCCGACAGAAACATGTAAACAGCACGGGAGCTACAGTATTCTTTTCCCACAGCACTCCCCAGAGAGGAATCGACCAGGATGTCACTCAAGAGGTAGTCTTTTTTTCCCCATGGAAATTTGAGTAAAAAACATTATCACCTATTATATTTTGGCTAAGAAAAAGGTCAGCAAAGAGCAAGAGAACCCTTTGGCTGGCAGGGCTGGCTTCAGGGTGAGAAAATTAGCTTCCAGCAGTAGCACATTTTTCTTGGGTTTGGAGCAAGCAGGCCCTAGCCTTTCTCACAGCTTCCATTTGAGCCTACAGCTGACACCCAAGCAAGCTGGGTGTACTTAGACTGCCAGATAAGAGACAGTTTGTCCTGGGCAGAGAGAGGCTCATGTGTAGAACAGTCAAAAGTCTTGAGGAAGCCCAGACCTATAGGTAAGTTTGCTTTCAATTCAGTGGCCTGGGGCTGCTCACTCTGAGGAAGTTGTCAGGGTCTGACTCTCAAGTCCAGGAACGATGCTACTTGTGGCAGCCAAGAGAGGGCTTTCTGGGGACCCTATAATTAAATACACATCCCTGAGCTGTGGTCCCAGAAGTGCCTGCTTCAAGGCTGACCAGTTTCCAGCACCTGGTGGGATGATTGCCGTTTTTCATCCTAAGAAACAGATAAAACTCTACTTCACAGACACTGCATGAGGAGAAGGGAGGAGAATGGATGGCAGAGGGTACGGGAATTCCCACAGACCAAGGTGGGGGAGTCAGTGAGTGGGCTTTCTTTCTTTCTCCCCCCCACTTTAACTTTAAAAAAAAAAGCAGTAAAGAAAAAGAATCAAAGTTTAGTGGAAGGGCTGGTCTGAAAGGTTGAATTTTTTAAAACAACTGCAATTAAAGAAAACAAAACCAAAACAACCCCAGTATTCTAAAGCCAGAGCTTTGTGGGGTGTTCTCCTACACTTCCACTGTTGTAAGATCAGGACAAGGAGGTTCCTGCCTGTTTCCCTCTACTCTAGAGGCCTGCCTCCTTCACTTGTAGGTTGGCCCTGGGGACTGGGTGTCCAGAGCCAGGTAGAGTGCTTTGAGTAGTAGGGAATTTCTCCAAACTAAGGGTGAGACTACCAAACCTTGCAAAGGACACAAATGACCTATAAAGGGAGCCAGAGAACAGGAATTACAAAGCCCCAAGACTCCATACTTCTGCTTTGGGACAAGAAAGCATACATAAGAAAAGGAATGTATGTTTCAGCATAGTGCAAGGAGATGGGTTCTCCTTCTCCACATGGCTTTGGGGCTATATTTTTCTATGGTTGAAAAATTCTCACTCAAAGTGAGTATTTTCAGTGGCCTGGATCAGAGGGGACAGAAGAGAGAGGAATAAAATATAACATGCACAAGTTTTTCCTTCGTCCACTAGCTAAAAGGCTGCCTGTTAACCAAACATTATAGGAAAAAAGGCAAAAAAAACAAGCATACCAAACCTCCTCCTCCAACCTTTCTCTGTGTCCTTCAAACCAAAATCACAAATACATCTAGTGGCTGACCTAATGTCTCCACGCTGCTAGCTACACTCCTACCTTCTCCTTATAATACCTGAGTTTGCAATGCAGCACATTTACTTTACCCTGTTTAAAAGAAGCCCATGTCATAAAAGGACTGGGTACAGAAGACATTAAAGGCGGTCCACAGGTCAGGCTCCAGCTCGGAACACACAGCCACTTGGCTCAGAGATTCTGCAGGGCTCTTGGCAATGAATGGGCTCTTTGTTCTGTGGAATCTGCTGCAAACATTTGTAAAAATGGATTTGTACAATGGCAACTTGCAGAACCTTTCCCCCACTCTACAAATTAACAACTTGCTCTGTTTAATACTACATTATTGGAGAGATATGTTCTTGTCTCATCAGAGCTTTGACATTCAACACAACAGGTAAAATGCTAATTTGAAAAGCAATTTAAAAAACCAACAATTTGACAAACGGAGGTCTAAGCAATGAAAACTGCTGTGTGCACACAGGCGCTGTCTCTGATCTGTGTCTCTGATTTCTAGCTTGAAGAAAGCAGCTGAGAATCTGACCTGAGGCCAAATAATGTGATCTGGTTGGTTAAATACAAAAATTCAGGCAAACAAGAAAATATTGTGAGCTCAGAAACAGACAGACACACTAATACAATATATCTTTCCATAAAAACATGAAAAACATTCTATCTGGAACTTTCTTGAGGAACATATCTCTCTCTCTCTCTCTCTCTCTCTCTCTCTCTCTCTCTCTCTCTCT